GGAGCCAGGATGTAGAGGAGGTGTTGCAACAAAGGCCAGGTGGTCGGAACATCAAAAGATGACTGTTAATTAAAGAAAACCAGACATCTCAAGTTAAGGAGTTTAGCGCTTTTCTGTGTATGGGAAGATGCAAGAGTCTGGGCTCACTGAAATCATTCCTTTGGTCTGCACCTCAGCTCTCTGGGGCCAGTGTCGTGTGCTTTCCTATCTGTCCCATCCTGAGTCCCCTCAGGGCTCACCATTGGGGGCAGCTGTAGTGGCTTGATGGCTGCAACAGCCTTTGTTTACTTTTTTTTTGGCGCCGAGGCTTATGGGATCTCAGTCCCCAGACCAGGGGTTGAACCCACGCCCCCTGCAGTGGAAGCGCAGAGTCCTAACCACTGGACCACCACTTTGTTTACTGATATGGCAGGCAACATTTTTCATTCACAATACATATTTTTAAGAAAACACAAATTGATCATACTATTCACAGTGTTGTGTACCTTGCTTTACTCAGAGAACAGCCTATTCTGGAGTTGATTCCGTGTGGAGAACTGCTTCAGTTTTTAAAATAACAGCTCCATGGAAATATGACTCGCATACCTCAATTCACACATTTAAAATGTCCAATTCAGTGGGTTTAGTGTAGTCACAGAATTGTTCCATCAGCACCGTGATACATTTGAGAACATCGTATTTTCATCATCCCCAAAGAAACCCTGTAGCCGTGAGCATTCACTCCCCATTTCCCTCCAGTCCCCCAGCCTTTAGCAACCACTCGTCTCCTTTCTGTCCCTGTCGTACGAAGTGTGGTCCTTTGTGACTGCCTCACTGTTTTTAATGGCTGAGTTAAAAGGCAGTAATGTCTGTTTCATGGGTGCACTGTAATTCATTTAACCTGTGCCTCTCCTTGGGCACTTCGGTTGTTTCTGATTTTTGCTGGTCCGACTGGTGATGCAGTGACAGTACTTCTAAGTGATTTATTTTGCACGTGTGTGAGTATATATACGAGTGTCGTCTTGGGACTGAAGCTGCCAGGGCTCAAAGGGTATGTGCCCTTAACATCTGGGCAGATGGCACAGCAGGGGCACCCTAAGTGTTTTGCTCCCTCTCCTCCCTTTCTTTAGTTGCAGAGCTTTTATGTTTACTCCTGGGACAAAGTCTTGCTGGCACATGCTTGCAACAGATACTGCTTTAGGTGCTGTTGTGTGCTGTTCAGTGTGGTGGTGATTTTTTACACTGCTTCCCGGTACACTTTTACAAGCATAATATTAGAACATACAGATTTGTTCTGGTTAAAATCTTGGTCTAGATTTTGGCAACAGCCTTGTTTTATCTCCCTAAAAAAGTGTCTTGGATTATTTTAATTCCTTCTAGGTCCTAGGAACTTATATCAGAGAATGGACATCTAAGCAGAGAGCCATATTAGACAGTGCACATCCCACAGCTGGTAGTACTGGTGTCTAAAACTGGCTGAAGTCCTGGCGTCTTATTTAAATATAAGCTCTCTGCTGTATATCAAAATATTCAAAACTAAAACAGTGACCAAGTCATATGGAAGTGAGATGCTGTTCATTTATACTCTATAGGTAGCCAAAAATGGGTCAAGGAAGTGCATTTCCTTGGGAGCTGACCAAATATAAGCTCTCACTGGATGAGAACCACACACTTGCGTTTCTGAGAAAGAGATTCCTGTTCCTAAAGAGCTCCTATCTTTCAGAAGTTTACTGAGCGTGCCATCACGGATGTGGAACTGCAGCAGCGGTGTCCTGTTCTCAGTTAGCCGAGCGCCTCTTGCTCAGTTCTCTCTGGCTTAAGGAGTGACAGCTTTGCAGCCCGCCGAAACCTCTAACTCCCATAGGTGATCTACAGTGACACCATCTGTGGACAGTGGCACCAACTGGTAGTTTGTAATTTTTATAACCCAGCTTGAAAGGTGTTGTAAATATATATGTAGTAAAGTGAAATTTCCACAGCTTTATAAATAAAGTGGGAGAATGCTATGGGAGAGTGTCCTCTGGAGCCGAGGAGAGATCATAAATTGGGAAACAACACAAGCACAAAAATGGGTGTGTGCAATGTTTACAAACGACTAATATCTCTGCTCAGGTCCCACGAGATTTGATAGAGAGTCTAGGAGACTTTATATGCAGTGCCCTGGTTGTGGCTATATTTATAATTCAGGATCGTGTAATTCATGAGCTGTAGCATAAAATGATAGTGAAATTTGGTAGAGCCTGGACTACTTTATCACTAGAGACTAGCTTCATGGCTTTTTTTGGATTTCTGATAAATTAGGGGACGATATATGTGGATTTGAAGAAGCTGCAGGTAGAGTTTTAGTTTTAGTAAAACTGCTCTGCGTGAGGCTGTAGTGGTGGATACATGATGAGCTGCATCTGTCAGAACATAGACCTGTCCAACCCAAAGGGCTTCCCCTGGGGTAAACCATGACTTCACTTAATAGCGTATGAGTGTTGGTTCACCAGACGCAGTGCGCTAAGGCAGGGTGTTAATAATTGCGGGGTGCAGGGGGAAGGCAGTGTTTTATGAGGTATGTGAGGACTCCCTCACTTTCTGATCAGTTTTTTTGTAAACCTAAAGCTGCTCTAAAAAATAAAGTCTATTAATTTAAGAAGGAAAAAAAAAAGGCTGCTGACAGAGGACGGTGCACGCGTTTGGGACAGGTTCCTGCTCTCTGTATCCGACATCATGGTCCAGGAGGAGAAGCCAGCGTTGGGGACGGCTTCTCTCCCTCTCAGCCTGGCCTCCGCCCCCCACTGCACTTGTAGGCTTTCAGCGCAGGTTCCAGCGCTGGCCGGCAGCTGTGCTGTGAGGCCTGTCTTTTTGTCCAGCTGTCTGTTCCCAGTGGGAGAGGCCATGGAACTCCCCCTGTGAAATGACGCCCTGATCCTCCACTCGGTGGGAGCAGTGGAGGGAGAGCCGGCCCGCGGGGCGGGGGCCTGAGCAGCCTGACGCTGTGCTGGACCCGCGGGCTCCGCTCTCTCCTCGACAGATCTGAGCCCTCACGGACATGAGTCCAGGCCGTGGTGTCGGACGAGGCCTGTCTCCTGTCAGAAGCACGCGTGTGTCAGTGTCTGCCGCGGTGGCTGGCTCCCGTGGCTGGCTCTGGAGGACCAGGTCTGTCCCACGGCCGCATCTCAGTGGCAGAGGCCTGTCTGCCTCCTCGCCGTTTCACTGCCTGAATCTCCCTTCCTGTCTGCAGTCTGCCTTTCCGCACCTCGCGCGCTATTCCAGATCTGCCTTTTTCCCAGGGTGAAAACACTTGTGGTGGCCTCTCACAGACAGTGTGGCCTTACATTCCCCCAGAAGCTGGGCACCTCAGTTCCCTTCAGCACAGCCTGAGTAACAACCCGGATGAGCATCCACCGGTGCTTGCTGAACAGGAGCTCTTCCAGTCACGCGGCTGCAGTGTAAGAACTGAGGGCCTTTGAGGGGAAATACGACGACCCGTGACGAGGCATACCTTCATCCTGGAGTCGTAGCTATGTAGAGCTGAAGTCTGCCATTCTCAGTCTACTGCCCCTGTTTTACGAGACAGGAGCAGCCTGCAGTTTAGATGGTGCATGCTGCCCAGCTGTTAGCTTGCAGAGTACAGCAGAGTGGGGGACGGAAGCTAGTGGGGGATGTCCTCACCCAGTGCCCTGCTTGCCACGAAATGCCACCTCTGAGAAGACGTCAGCAGAGCCACCTAGAAGTTGAGCTAACCGGTAGTCACGAGGTCTTTCTTGCAGCGCGTTTTTACTGTAGTTTATTGAGGTCTGTTTTGTTTTTCAAGATTAAAATGCATCATTGGTTTTCTGCGGAGGGTTGACAGTTAGTGGGGAAATATTTTATGCCAATTTTGCTAGAATTCAAAACAACCTTAGAGTAAATAATTGTATCATGAACTCTTTGAGAAGTTGACCTGGATATTTAAATGTTAGATTCGTGATTTATTCAGTCGACGTTGTAAGCATGTGAAGTGCGTTCTCTTCCTGATTCACTTTCTGAGGCACCTTTGACCCTGAAGTGTATCCAAGAGGCTTCGGATCCAGGAGCCCTGCGACCCTGCTTGTTGGGTAGCCGCAGCTCATGCAGTACTGGGATCTTCCTGTAGGTGGAGCTCTGCTCACAGCGCACCCATGACGCGGTTTCATCACAGCTGTACTTTGCCTTCTTTTTTTAAGTCTAAATGATGAGTAGCATACAGAACACTGATTATAGAAGTTATTGGTAATATGTATTCATATGTATCAGACTAATCTCACAATATTTCCTTAATAGATATGCAGTGCTTCTGTGCTATGAACCATTTAGAACTGGTGCTCCATATATTATGTCACTTTAACTACAGCTCTTGCTACGTGAGAACATGTTCTCTGCAAGCCTTATTGCACACAGCACTGCCGTGTTAACTTTAAAATTTTCTGTGTATACTTGCATCAGGATTGGATAATTCCATTAGAGTTTTTTCTTATAGGAACATTGGAAATGCTGGTCTTTCTAATCATCAGCTATCTTAGATATAGCACATGAAACTAATTTTTGTCAGAACTGCCAAATCAGGTCATGTGACCATGTTTGTGATGCTTTCCTTCCCTCTACTTCCCCACTCCACCTCTAATCAAGTGAAAATTAATCACTTGTGTGGTTCTTTGTGTTCACCTCTATCAGGATATTCGCCCAAGTTCCTTTTGTTATAATTAGGGGTGCAAGTGAGTGTTTCCTCCCTAGGTTACAGGTTCCTTAGGAATGGAATTTTTATTCATGTTTATATCTATCCAATCATATTGTGCTACGAGTTGGGTCAAATATTTTAATGTTCAGTAAATGTTCATTGGGTTAAATTGAATAAAAAATGAGTACTTGGTTACTGATTGCTAGCAAAACTCTGTATTTCCTAAACAAGGTTTATTAATCATCTCAAATTTTCAGCAGCGAATTTATTTTTATTTTTTTGAAATTGAGCAAGTGTCTTCCCTTTTCAACTAAATGAGCAAACATTTCTCTTTCAGGATTTGTTCATACAGATATGACGAAAGACTTGAAAGAAGAACATTTAAAGAAAAACATCCCTCTTGGGAGGTTTGGAGACCCCCTTGATGTGGCCCATGCAGTCGTGTTTCTTTTAGAGTCTCCGTACATTACAGGGCACGTCCTGGTGGTGGACGGAGGCTTGCAGCTCACCATGTAGCCGACTGATATAGCTATTATTAGAGTCAAGGGCATACACTGTTATACCTTCATTCGCTAATCAAACCTACTGATGCTACAAATGTTGATTTCCATCTTTATATGAATATGTCTGTAGAGGACAGTATGTGACCAGCTGTGCTTTCTAAATGACACATACCTTCCAGGCTGCAGCAGTGTTAGTGTATAGTCGCCCCTCAGTACCCACAGGGATCTGCCCTAGGAGCCCCAGAGTCTTCAGATGCTTCGGTCCCTTACATACCGCAGCCTCCACAGTATTTGCATATAACCTACGTATACTTTAAATCATCTTTAGATTATGCATAATACCTAACACAGTGTCAGTGCTGTGTAAATAATTGAAGTACACTGGAAATGCAGCTTATTCTTGGAATTTGGGGAATTTTTAGAAAATATTTTCTATCCGTGGTTGGTTGAATATGGATGTGGAAGTCATGGATGCGGAGGGCTGACTGTATAGGCATTTTTCAAGTGATATAAACGTTAATTTATACATTTTGTGGCAAAAGTGGGAAAAATTATATGGTCTAATTGTCATTAGTTGTTTCGTTGTATCAGGTTGAATACTACAGAAGTTAACCTTGGAGGCCATTGCCAAAGTAAGAGTATTTACAGGGCATGGGTAGGTGTCAGTGCCTTAGCAGCCCTGCTAGAGTTAAGTATCCCTTTTGCCCCTCGGACAGTCATTTGATTTACAGGTTGAAAATGAATGTGGAGTTTGGTTTCTTTGTGTGGCATTGCTCCTCCTTGAGCCACTGGGCACAATAAACTGCAATTGCAGGTGTGGACAGTTGACCCATCCTGTGGAAATTCTCAAAGATGGTGAGGGTTAACCCTTACTGTTTTAATACCTGGTACAGTTGTGAGCTGCATAGATCTCATCAACTTAGGAAGCAGAAGTGTTTTGTCTTTTGTTTTTGTTTGTTTTGATTTTTTAAATCCACAAAAACAGTGTAGGAGGCTACTTAAAAACAGCAATAATAATATTCTTGCCTGACATTTTAGAAAACTAATAATTATGAGAACCATAAATAAGTAAATACGCAGTAACAGTGAGTTAAATGTCTTTACAAGGAACAGGTTAAGTATTAGTCTTAAAAGAAGATGTTTGCCTGAGATTAGAAATGAAGACACAAACTGAGTGAAAACATCAGATGATGTCTATTTTGCGCTGAACTGTTTTGTGGGGAATACCGTGATCATTTTAAATGTCACTGGATTCATGTTGATTTTTATAATTTGTCATTTTAAAATGTTTTAAATATTTATTGCACCTTAAACAGCAATCTTTTTACAGTTTTATCGGAGCCGAAATGATTTTATGTAAACATTTAATTTTGTATTGAAAGTCGGTGCAAACGTATTAATAGGATATATTAAATAAATGCAGAGTAATAAAAGTAAAATAACAGTCAAATCTGTGTTCCAAATCAAGATTCCTGATTCCTTAAAAATTCTTTTGCACTGATCTTCAAAATAGCCTTCTTTACTTCGAGAAGTCTGTTTAGGACGTGAGCAAGCCAGTTAAGTGTAAGTTACTGTTGTAACCGGACGGTCTGCTCACCGCAGACACGGCGGTGCGCAGACCGCGCTCGGGCGTGCACAGTGCCCGGCGCTCGCAGGGAAGCAGCGGTCGGGGCGGTGTCCGGCGTCCTGCACACGGAGCACGTGCTTCTCCAGCGCCGCCTGCCCGCAGGCCTTGCTGGGCGGCCACGGGCCAGCGCCCTCCTCAGACTCCCGTGCTCCAGACCCCGTGGGGCCTCCTCGGCTGGTGGTTGGCAAGGAAGCAGGTGTTACTGGAACGAATGGCGCTGAGGCGTGGCTTGCGGATGGATTTAACCTCGAAGTGTGTATATTCACACGTCAAGACATGACCCCTTCTGAAGCGTCCACCCGCTCCCGCCCACATCGAACTTCTGTAAGGTGGAGCGAGGCCTTAAACAGGTGCAGCCAGCCGTCCCCGCCCCGCAGGTGACGCCTCCATCAGCTCCCACCGCCTGGGTGGGACGTGTTTCGTGCTCTCATCCTGGTGCTGAAATAGGTTGCCAGCTGTTGCTCATATTGAGAGATTCAAGAACTTCAGCGAATTCTTAACAGGATAACTCAGCTGCAGCTCTTATATGGCTCTTAGGAGCCTGCGATGCAGTCTGTGTTGCGTACTTGTTAGGAAGTGGTTTATGGTTAAAGCCAGTGTTAACATGTTTGCATGGGACGTTTTTAAATTTGTGCTTTTCATATTTTTTTCATATTCAGTTGTTTTTTTAATAAATTTATTTATTTATTTTTGGCTGTGTTGGGTCTTTGTTGTTATTCGCGGGCTTTCTCTAGTTTCGGCAAGCGGGGGCTACTCTTTGTTGCAGTACGCGGGCTTCTCATTGCAGTGGCTTCTCGTTGCAGAGCACGGGCTCTAGGCGCCTGGGCTTCAGTAGTTGTGGCACGAGGGCTCAGTAGTTGTGGCTTGCGGGCTCTAGAGCGCAGGCTCAGTAGTTGTGGTGCACGGGCTTAGTTCCTCCGTGGCATGTGGGATCTTCCCGGACCAGGACTCGAACCCGTGTCCCCTGCATTGACAGGTGGATTCCCAACCACTGCGCCACCAGGGAAGCCCCCATGTTCAGTTTATAAGGGGGTTTTAAACTGCTTTCTAAGAGAGAATTATATGTTGTAAATTTCGGGGCAATAATTTATGTGAAGAAGGTGATTTAATGTGATGCTTCTGTTATCTGGAATAAAGGGAGGAGATTACTCTGGACGTCTAAGAGTTAGGCCTTGCATCGCTGAAACATTTCCCCAAGCTTTGCAGACGGAAGTGTGTGTAAGCTGAAGGTCCTACCACTGCCCTGACTTGACAAACATACTACAAAGTATTTAATAATTTTTAAGTTTCTTTTCTATTAATTTTATCTTTCAGTTCCATCGCAAGCTCCCGAGGGTAGAAAGTTTCCGTACGGTGTTTTCATTCTTCTCATTTTAGTTAAATAACTCCGTAAATATTGGTTGAATACCTACTAAGTGTCTGGTACATCTTTTGATTCCTCCACCTTACCCACTCAGCTCTGAGAACATCTGGTACATCCCAGAACTACACTGATAAATCCTTTCATGTGTTTCGATTCAAGATCAACAGGCATTCATTACATTGTGCTATAGTGGAGGGAAGGGTGGGTCATTGAAATATCAATACATCTGTTTCCTCAGTACACATCCTGGAATATTCTGTGACTCCTTTTTTGGCCATTTATCTCTGACTTCGTTGCTTAACTTTCAATTTATAACTGAATTTGAAATGCTAAGCCAATCAACTATTTTCTCTTAGGCAATATGACTGACTTGGAGGAATTACCACCAGTTTAATTTGGAACCCTTGGACTAATAATCCAAATGGGGGTGCTATCGGTATCACCTGGAGAATTTTTTCCCCCCCAAATTTAAACCCAAGTCAGGAGCCCTGTCCCTGGGAATTTTGCTATGGGTAGGGCGGGGTGAGGAAAATGTGGAGGTGCTTTTAGGAAAAGTTTTCAGTGATGCGCAATGTCCATTACTTCATTAAATAAGTATTTATTTATTCATTCCTACTGCACACCAGACACTGCTTATCATGGGAGGTATAGTGGAAACGAACCCTGGCTCCCTGGAGCCCACAGGCTAATTGGTTTGGGCCGTGGGCAAGCGGACCTTAAACCGTCACCAAACGTCGGATTACAGCTGAGGTGAGCACGGGAAGAGC